CCCTTGCTCAGTAGACTTCTCTGGGAGGCCTGCCTTTTCTGAAGGGAAGCAGAGTGGCAGTGGTTCTGAAAGAGATGGTTGATTGTGGGACTAAGGGGACTGGAAGGAGATGAGGATACAGAATATGAAAAAAGAATGAATAAAAAATTTACATTGTGTCCTTTCATGTTCCATTAGTTCTGGTCCCTCACAAACAGCATCCCTCCTGCTTGTATGTGTGTGCTTATATACATAGGCAGTACATGTGAGAAGAGACCCTTCCATCGTTGACCTGTAAGAATGCATCTATATCTGAATTCTGTCCATGAGAGAAACCAATTGATGTTTCTGCGTCCAGACTTTGTTTGTGCTCCATCATGAATGAGTTCCTATACTATTTACATACAGTACAGCTCTCCACATGATATCATGACCCATGTGACTTATGTAAAGCAACTGATAAACTAGAGCAGCAGGTGTTGAAACACCCATGTCCGAGTGTGCAGGGAAAGGGAACAGACTCAAATGGTTAGTACCAAAACCTAAGTGCTGATTTCAAATTCAGTAGAGGCACATTAGCCACATCCCTGTGACTGGTCTCAGACTCCTCCCTGTTTCCTGCATGTTCTGTCTGATGAAATTTCCCTGATCTTTTTTGTACCTACTTTATGGAGCCATGATATCTTTGTAACTTGGTGGCTTTGTGTGAATTGTTTGCAGGGAACGAGCATATTAATATCACTATCATCAGTTTTGTATGACAGCAACGAATTCCCCAATCCGGAGACGTTTGATCCTGGTCATTTTCTGGATGCAAAAGGAAACTTTAAGAAAAGTGACTACTTTATGCCTTTCTCAGCAGGTAATATAACCTCATTTTCATGACTTTGGTGACATGAGGAGCTGTGGGAAATTTTACAGTGACACCTAAGGGAATCATAGAATTTCATTTTGTGTGTGATTAGTACCTATTCACTGTTGTTGACAACTCTTCCCTGCAGGAATCAAATTTGGAGGTTACACTTACTTCACACACTTCACTAAAGTAAAGAATGCTGTTAGTTTTACAATTTGCAGTCTTCCTTTATATGAACATCCCATGGATACAAAAGACAATCATCATAGAGAATAAATGTAACCTAGCCTTTGAACAATCACCATTAAATAAAGACTGCCATAATTTTACTTTTTTTTTGGTTGTTTCACACTTCTCCAGGCTCAACTATGTAGAAACACACTCCAAAAACTACAGAAAAGCTCTGATGGGATGAAGCCCACTCAGGGAAGCAGATGAAAAATAGGTTGGTGTGATTGGCCTTGTGTTTAGAGAGAATCACCCATCCCTGACCAAGACAGTTGCTAGGGAGAAATAGGCACAATTTTCTCTCTAATACTTCAAAAATAAAACACAAATATTAATCAACATTGTAATTTATGGCTTTCTATCTGACAAAAAAGACATAAATGAAAGATAAAACCAAAAATTAAAATCATTTTACATTCTCATTCTTATTGTTTGAGTTTTATATATGTATAAAATAACTTCTCATCAAAACCACACCTATATTTCAACCCAAGTGTCTTTCATTCTCACCCTGTACTATTCTCTCTTACTACAACTCCATACACGTTCTTCCTTTAGTATACAACTAGTATACAACACTTTTATTTTTCTTCCAGTTTCCACCCATTTTTTCTTTATTTTAATTTATTAGATTTTTAAAATATAAAAAATATCAATCCAAGTTTCCACTCTCTCCCCCCTGCCCATTCCCCCCACAAACCCTCTCACCCCACTCACAAACAATCCTCAGAGAGGGCAAGGCACGTTGCCTTGTGGAAGGTTCAAGGCCCTCCTTACTATATTTAGCCTAAGCAAGGTATACATCCAAATAGAATAGGATCCCAAAAAGCCAATACATGCAGTAGGGATAAATCCTGGTGCCGCTGCTAGTGGCTTCTCAGTCTGCCCCAGCAATTCAAAATGTTCTTAAAGCACTGCGTGCACTATGTCCTTTTAGTGTGCTTAAGTTTAGCGACATGTTCTGAAGCATCAATAACCTACAGGTGGCCAAATTCATGATTGAAAACTGGATCTTCTCTTGAATAACCTCTAGCTGTCCATATCTCTTCAGTAGAGGGGAGACTTTTTGAGCATATTCCCAGTCCTGGCTGGAATTTTGGCTAATGTTAGTCATTTTTGCAAAGGTGATAAAGGGCTGAGAAAATGAATCAGCAATTAAGAGAATTTGCTTCCTTTGCCAGACACCTGAGCCAAATGCCCAGCGCTAATCCTGGGAAACTTACAACCACCTGTCTTCCCTGCTCCAGGAGACCTGGACTTACTAAACAAGTAACTTTGACATATTCATTCACCCACACATTCAAACATGCTTAATTGTTTAAAAGAAAATAGAGAGTTTTATACACACACACACACACACATATGTATGTATGTATCATCCTAGGTCTAGGTGTAAGAAACTTCGAGGTTACCATGAGGTCATGGAATCCTTGTAGTTGTGGCAGGAGACTCTATTGGAATCTTTGGGTCTCTGCTACTCCACCAAGCAGGGTGCTGGTCTCAAATATTGCATCTTCACACCTACAGAGTATGTTCTGATATATAGCTTGACAGGGATGTTCCTTCATAGATCAAATGATTTTGACAATAAACTCATAACATGATTCCTTCAACCTCTTTCTTTTTGTACCAATATCAGGCTGATTTTTGTTGCTATAGCTTCGTAGAATAATTTGAAATCAGTGATACCTGAATGATATCTTTTATCATTCAAGATACTTTTAGTTATCCTGGCTCTTTTGTGTTTCTATGTAAAGCTGAAAACTCTCCTCTCAGTTTTCATAAACACTTGTGTTGAAATTTTTATGTGAATGGGATTGAATCTGTAGATTGATTCGATATGGTGCTCAATTTCACTATATTAATCCTGCTGATCCGTGAGTACCGCGCACCGCGCGCCGGTGTCTGAGCTCTGTGCGCTATTATTCTGTTCACGAGCTTTGGGCAAGGGAGCTGGAGGTTAAAATACACAGACACACACAGACAGAGAGACAGCGACACAGGTCATCCTTGAATTCCCCAAGAATGCCCCCTTTATTGTGTTCAGNAGAATTGTGGCTTACCAGGTAAAGTTCTGGTGTCTCTCTCCTTCAACAGCTACATGTCATCTCTTTGACTCCTATTCTCTCTCTACGTCTCTTCCATCCTGATTATATTCTGCCTTGCCACAAGCCAAAGCAGCTTTATTCATTAACCAATAAAAGAAACACATATATAGGAGAACACCCCACATCATCTCCCCTTTTCTGTCTAAATAAAAAGGAAAGTTTTAATTTTAACATAGTAAAAATAAAATGTACAAAACATTTATCAAGAAAGAATAATAGTTATAATATTTAGTACATTTACATATGGCAAATTAAGAAAATAACTCTATTATCTAACCTATCTTTGTGAGTCTAAAAAGTTTTATATCTAGTTTATCCTTTATCATAAATAAGGAAAACTATAACTGTAAATATCTGTCTTCAACTCTTCAAAGACTCCAGAATGATATAATTTTACCTAAGTAAGCAGGAAGTGCATTGCAAGCAGCTTCCAAACTTCTAGAATTGACAGAGACATCTTGCTGCCAGGACAATCACCCAGAGTTCTTCTCTAATGTTGAGGCATCCACTTTCAGCATATAGATCCGTAGTATCCAGCAGACTCTTCCATGGAGCAGGAAATTTGAAAGACTATTTAGTCTATATTGGTACTTCATCAGTCACTTTCTTTTGTGTCCATCATAATGTCTGGCATTTTCTTTGGTGGAGCAGGAACACTGAAGTACTGTCTCATCTTCTTTTATCAAGATCGGCAATCAATTTTTTCTGGGTCCTGCATATACAGATCATATAGCTACCATCACAAAGTCCACCTAAGAGTGTTTCTTACCCAAAGTGCTAGCCTTGTCACACTGAAGGGAAAATTCCATAATGAGTTTCTTCAATGCCAATGAACCTCTTTAAGTAGATTGTTGCTCCCCCAAGCTGACATATATCATTATCAAGAAAAGTTTAAGTTCTTCAAACATTTTAAATTCCATATTCTGTAGGTCTTTGAAGTGTTGAAGTTTATCTATCTAAATGAAATATATTTCTATATTTCTAGAAAACTTAACTAATAAGACTAATGTTTGATTATTGTAGATGACAATTTATTAACTTGTATTTCTTAATTATACAATATATTTTCAAATTAGCTGTGCAAACATATTATCTTAAACAAGAGCAGAAATACATATATGAAATGTAACAAAAATCAACCTTAAATTTGTATCAATAGACTATCATCCATACCAATGCAAAGTGTTCATCTTTACATTATATCCCCCTTTGAATGAAAACAAATATTTATAATCAATCATTTGGGAAATTTGGGCATAGTTTTCTTCAAACTGCTTCCTACTATTCATTGGGAAATGTATTTTTAGGGTTCACAGAGACATTTCAGGGAATCTTGTCCCATCAAAACCTATTAGCCTGAAAGGAATCCATAGGTTCTCATCTACAATGAAAACGAAAGCAGAAGCTCTCTCCAAAGCAACATAATCTTAGATCCAAATTTTCAATTCAAGAGACTTTATGTTGGTTTAATTTAGAAGCTTCCAGAATCAAATGTTTCTCTTCAATCAAAAATGTCAAGAAAAACACAATAATATACATCATCTAGATTGCCTGTGTATATTCCATTTTTATGTGGATTATTTTATCGTTTTTACTCCTTTTATCTACAACTGTGATGTGGGAAGGTCATTTGTCAATCTGTTGTTTCATTGGTTAATCAATAAAGAAAACTGCTTGGTCTGATAGGTCAGAAAATTAGGTAGGTGGAGTAGACATAACAGAATGCTGGGAAGAAGGGAAGTGAGCCAGATGCCATAGCTCTCCTCTCTGAGGCAGACAGGATGAAGCTCCAGCCCAAGATGGACATATGCTAGAATCTTCCTGGTAAGCCACCACCTCGTGGTTAGTCAAGATGTGAGAGTTAGCCAAGAAGAGGCCAGATATAATGGGCCAAGGAGTGTTTAAAAGAATACAATTTGTGTTTTGTTGTTATTTCGGGGCATAAGCTAGCCAGGCGGCTGGTAACCGGGCGGCGGATTGTAGGCCACTGCTCCTTCTACACAACTGTTTATACTCTTTTATATTACTTTTATTTTCTCTTTATAGACGTTGTTTTATTTTTAAACTATTTCTTTTCATAACAATACTCTTTTTCTTCTTTCTCTCAAACATACGTACATTTTTTAAACACACTATGACCCATTCAGAGTTTTATTTCTGTCTGTATCTGTCTTTACTGTTTGTCTGTAGTCATTTTCTGACCAGAATCACTTTTTTTAAATGTTAAGCAGGCATGAATAGGACCAACTTCATGGCCCTGACTGTGTGCTCTGCCCAGTCCAACATGGTGGAATCATGTTCACAGGCTCTGCCAGCCATGCTTACCACCCCAGCTCTAGGGAAACAGTGGGTCTATGTTGCCATTGAGCAATTTGAAGCACTCTGCTTACAAACCACATTTAAATGCTCCATAACAAGACCTTCCATCAAAAACAGAGGTGTTTGTGTGCTGCCAGCATGAAATAAGCTGTTGGCTCCTAAAAGGGCTCTGCAGTTTTTGCTGCTAATTCTTTGTCAGGAAGCCTTCTATTAAAAGAGCCTAACCATGCCCCTGCACACCACCAGCAAGAAGAAAAAAAAATCTGAAAAAAATGTTGCTACCAAGAAGCTGTGCTTGGCTCCCGTTTTGGTAGTTCTAGAAGCCCTATTTTCTTTAAGTTTTTTTTAGGA